AACATATATCATATATGACATTATCAAATTAATATTCTATAACATACAGTATATTTTAGTGTAATTTATATTTTTATTATAATTAATCAAAAAATATATAACATATATGACATTATCAAATTAATATTCTATAACATACAGTATATTTTAGTGTAATTTATGTATTATATTTTTATTATATACTGTATATATTATTACATATACTAAAATATCAATTGCATACGTGTTTGTACATATGTAAATAATAATAATAGTATTAATAATAATATACATAATTATCCATGCATATTTTAATATATGCAATAGCAATAATATTTTTAATGTTGATTCTTCTTTTTTTTCACTGTTTTTCCTACTAAAATGACTATATTGTTATACACAACATACATTTTTTCACACCATAGAAGATTTTGGTACAGTAACACTGCCGAGCGCTACTGAGAGAATTAATAGGGCTTTGACACAGTACTTTGGATTAACGAGAGCAATTTATTATAAGAAAAACACAAAGCACTGAAGTTGAAGAAAACGCACACATTCGACACAGTACATTGCCTCTGATTTTCCTTCTCTTTATTTTCTATCTTTCCATTCGTCTAGCACCTGTTTTTTTTTTATTCTAATGTCATACCTGTTCACATGATATTATCATTTAAAAAAAACATCTGAAATAATTAGTAGCGTTTAAAATATATAATAAATCAGTTGGCCATGGGTTTAATGCTTTCCTCTCAGTCCTTCGGTTTTCTGTGAATAACACTGTGAAGTCTGTGACTCGTGACTTTGGTGAAGGACGCGCTGTGGTCAGCCGGCTGTCAAACTCTGAACTGCAATTAGAAAGCAGCAGGAAGAAGCTGCGTCTGCGAAATGTTGCAGGCCCTTTCTGGCCTTGGCACCGAATCTTCCGCACCAGTCACAGTTACGCTTTACAGAGAAACTGATGGGGGAAAATAAATGTGATGGGAACGGAGGGAGCAGCAGTGCATGCTGGGAGGGTCAGTGTGGCAGACAGACGGATGACGGGATGAGAGAGGAAAGCGTCAGAAGCTCCAGATAATCCCACATCAGTCCAACCTCTTAAGCTCTCCACCCATCGGTTCATATAGGAGCTTTTGAGCTGTTTTGAGCTGCTCTTTGTTTTGTGTTTTTGCTCAGTTATTCAATAGTACAGTGTGTGTGTGTGTGTGTGTGTGTGTGTGTGTGTGTGTACACTTATACATATATATTATGTACATATGGTTGATTACAGCAAAACAGTATATGTATATATATATATGCGCAAAACATATGTGACCCTGGAGCACAAAAGCAGTCTTAAGTCGCTGGTGTATATGTGTAGCAATAGCCAAAAATACATTGTATGGGTCAAAATGATTGATTTTTCTTTTATGCTAAATTATATTTACATTCGGATATTAAGTAAAGATCATGTTCCATTAAGATATTTTGTCAATTTCCTACCGTAAATATATAAAAACTTAATTTTTGATTAGTAATATGCATTGCTAAGG